ATATTCTGTGAAAAATGTTTTAAACCTTTTTTTTTTTCCAAAGTAAGGAATATCTCTTCTGCCATTTTTGTCATGTCTTTTCTTACCATGTGTTAGTCCCATTCCCTTTCCCCGATCTCCTGTGCCGTCCACATCTCCCTATAAACCACACATGGCTTTCCCTCTCTTCTCTCTGCCCTCCCTGTCACATCCACCTGCTCAGGACAGCATTGTCCCAGGGCTGGCTGCTGGCTGCCCACCTCTGCCGTGTGCCCTGTGCACTGACTTCTGCCCACAGCCCATCTTCGCCTTCCCCAAGACCTGGGAACTGTTTTCTCTCTGGCCCCATGTACTGTGCCGAATGGTAGAGGTTCCAAAGAATTCCCCTCTTTGTTTAGAATGTGCTCACATCAAAACAGCAGATGCAATTCTGAGATGGCAAGTTTTGTCAGTCCCTGTAGTCTGAGTAGCTTGAGAATAGTATAAAAAGTTGTTCTTGAATTTTCAAACATTAGAGACGTTAGGATCATTTTATTACTAGACCATTAGAGCCCCAAATGGAAAGCTCATTTGAGATGGTTCAAGTATTTTTCTTAAAAAAAAAACAAAAAAACCTAAAAGTCTTTATTACAGTATCACCTTTTATGGCAGAAAATCCAACCATGTGGCTGGAAGGAAAAAAACTCCATGCCAGCAGCCATATTGGCAAAGATTATTTTTGCTGCAAATGCTAGGGCTATGGACCAAAAGCGTCTAGTCTCCTGATGCACTGAAGAGGAACAGAATTAGCTTATGAAGAATATTCCAACCAGATGTCTGGGAATTGGTAACTGCAGTGACAAAAAAGACAGAAGGAAGGAAGAGAGGCAAATTTTCTTTTATGTATCAAAACAGTGGGTATTACCGATTAGGGATATTCAGGATAAGAGAAAGGCATTAAATTCTCCTAATCACTATAAACTGGGAATCTGCTATGTGTTTGGCTCTATTGTAGAAGTGAGGACAATGCCAAGGGGCAAGAGAATGCACCTTTGTTGACTAGAGTCTTGTAATCAACTCAGGGGAAAGCATGTGGACGCAGGACCGCAGCAAAGGCAAGGGAAGGGAAGGGCTTTCTGAGTGATGTTGAGCAAGGGCCTCGGCGTTCAGTTCAGGGAGAGGTTATTTCCAGCTGCGGTGATACACAAGGATATTTTGGAAAGGAAATAGCTTTTGAGCCAAGCCTTAGATGCACTGATAGGATCTTGATAGAGATGGTTAAAGTGTACGGGACATAAAAGGAATGCAAACCTGGGGTGACTGAATTGTACGGGGCATGTTTGGGGAAAGCAAGCAGCTCTATCCAAGTGCAGTGGAAAAGTTCAAATGGGAAAGCAGTGAGTGAAAGCCCTAGAATGATAGACTAATCAAACCCATATCACGCTGGACTCTCTCAATCTGTGAGCTGGTATTTCTCAGGGTTTTTATCTGGGCTCCCTGCCTCGGTGTTAGGGCAGGTGTTCAGTGCAGACCCCTGGGCCCACTTCAGTCCCCCGAAATCTGCATTTTTTAAAAAGATTTTATTTATTTATTTAATAGACCACAAGTAGGCAGAGAGAAGGGGGGGAAGCAGGCTCCCTGCTGAGCAGAGAGCCGGATAGCAGGACCCTGGGATCGGGACCTGAGCAGAAGGCAGAGACTTAACCCACTGAGCCACCCAGGTACCCCTGAAATCTGCATTTTAATAATCCTTCTCGATGACTGCAAAGCATTCCGAAAAATCGGAAAACATTTGCTATTGAAACAGCCTTCAGGATAGTCAGTGAAGGTTTGGGTGAGGGAGAGTGGCAGGCAGGAGGTGACTTGAAGGTTCAAACTCTGGATCGCGACAGCAGGAGCAGGGATTTTACTGAAGGAGGAGTCTCTGGAATATAGTTGGGGGGGTGTGGGCAGCGAGAGGAGGGAGGAGTGGGGTACAGCCAGCAGGACTCTGAGCTTCCGTGGCCAGGGACACCGGGGCACCCCAGTAGCAATATGGATCATGCGAATTTCCCTGAACACCTACAAGATCACTCCACACCTCACCCCCCACCCCGGCAAAACTGCACTTTGTCCCCACCCCTAACTGAAATGCCCCCCACGAAGTATTTCTGGAGTACTGGCAGGTACTTCTGAACGAGTCTGAGCCCCCTCATGCCTCCTTGCTGTCAGCAGGGTGGTCTCGGGACAGCTTGGCTGCAATTCTTGCTTCCTGACCAGTCCATGAGCTCGAGCACCTTGGGCTTGCCCACTGCCTTCGGGGCTCAGCAGCTCCCTGATCCTGGCAGTGACTGCCCCACAGGGGGTCTAGGAGAGGCGTGTGTTACTCTAAGTACCGTGGCTCTGCCCCGTCAGCCCCCTTCCCTGCTGGCCTGCCGGTCACCAGCTTCTCCGCCGCCCCTTCAGGTCGAGGAGTCTGTGCCAGAGACAGATTCAGGGGCCGTCATGAACCATGTCCTGCCAAGGGGTATTATCCAGTGCTCACATGGGGCACTGGGGCCTGGAGGTATGAGCACAGATGGATTCTGCCCTTTGGAGAGTCCTTGGCCAGAGGGGTCCCAAAACAGCCTTCTTCAGGTCTGAGTTTTATACATTGAGGCAAAAGGACTCTTTTGTCCTGACTTCTTCAGAGCTCAGATGGGACAACAGTGGGGCTGCCAGGAGACCCTCTGAGTGGTAGAATCTTCTCTCCCCACTAACAGTAAAGGCTTGTTTGGGGTGTTGAGTTCAATGAATTCATTGTACCTGGGTCTCCTCCTTCCCTCAAAACACGTGTTCTCAGTCCTCAGCAGGTGACATTTTGGTGGGCCGTTCCCCCCCCCCGCCCCCCGTTCACCAGATATGCCAAGGCCCCAGTGGAGGACACAGCTGGGCTCAGCTGGGATCCCCACTTCATATGGGAATCCAAGGCAGATCCTGTTGGTAGAGGGGAGACTGAATTATTTCACTTAAAATTTTTAAAGGAGGCAATGTGTTTGCATGATGACAAAGTTCCAGATGCACACGGGGGCATCCTGTGAAGGGTCTCCTTGCCCACTGTGTCCTCTGCCAGTCAAGTGAACTTTTGGCATATCCAAGTAAGAATGTATCTATATATTCTCCTTATCTTTTTAAAAATGGAAACGGTAGCATCCACACACACTGCACCATGCTTTTAAAAATCCCACATCAGAGGGGCTCCTGGGGGTCCGAGTTGGCTGAGCTTATGACTCTTGGTTTCAGCTCAGGTTGTGATCTCGGGGTCGTGAGATGGAGCCCCACGTCAGCTCTGTCCTCAGTGTGGAGTTCGCTTGAGATGCTCTCCCTCTCCCTCTGCCCCTCCCTCACATGCTCATGCGCTCTCTCTCTCTCTCTCTCTCGTTCTTTCTCTCAAATAAATAAGTCCTTAAAAAAATCCTATGTCCCAAATGAAACCTCCTCATCCATGTCATATTGCACTGCGTGACCGACTATACCACAGTGAGATCTAACCGGTCCTTCTCAGGGGAACGCAGCGTTTTTCTCGTCCCTGGTTAGCACAGACACTGCCACAAGGACCACTTATAAATACACACCTCATTTCAGATGCAGGCAGGCATATCTCTATGGTCAAGTCCCAGAGAGAGATTGTAGGTCAGAGGTTCAATCAAAAATTTCCTCCTCGTAAGGGTTGTGCCATTTTGCATTCATACGACTGCGTGAGCAGGAGTCCCCTTTCCCTTCTACTGCTTCATCCGCAGAATGTTTTCAGGCTTCTGAGTTTGTCAGAGCCTGCAGGCGAGAGGTGCGCTCCCAGCACGCTTTGTGGGGGGCGGAGGAGGGGGCACTGGGAGCCTGTAAGCGTCCAGGTCTCTGCTTAACACACAGCAGCAGACACCCCAACAATGGCATTTAGTAAAAGCAAAAAAAAAGTCCACCAGCTTTTAAATTTTTTTTAAGATTTTTATTTATTTATTTGAAAGATTGAGACAGAAAGAGTGACAGAGAGCACAAGCCAGGAGAGAGGAGAAGCAGACTCCCCACCAAGCAGGGAGCCCGATGCCGATGCCGGGCTCCATCCCAGGACCTTGGGATTGTGACCTGAGCCGAAGGCTGCTGCTTAAGGCACTGAGCCACTCAGGCACCCCTAAAGATGTTTTAAATAGGCATTTAAGAAAAGAAAGGAGGGATAGAGTGGGGCAGGGCACAGGGGGAGGAGAAAGGGAGGAATGGAAGAAAGAAGACCCCAATCTAAAATGTCCTAAAGAAGGATTAGTGAAGACAAGCCTGGTACACCCACTCACTAAAACAGTCTGCGTGCTGTTTGAAATTCTGTCTCTGAAAATGGTGCCAAGACAGGTGGGGCTCTGGCAGCACCCCATCCAGAATGTCTTCCCAAACCACCCCAAATAAATGTACCTTAGAAGGGACGGAAGCCGGGCTGCCTGGGTGGCTCAGTGGGTTAAGCCTCTGCCTTCGGCTCAGGTCGTGATCTCAGGGTCCTGGGATCGAGTCCCGCATCGGGCTCCCTGCCTAGCGGGGAGCCTGCTTCTTCCTCTCTCTCTCTCTCTCTCCACTTGTGATTTCTCTCTGTCAAATAAATAAAATATTTAAAAAAAAAAAAAAAAAAAAAAAAGAAGGGACGGAAGCCGCTGGCGGCATGCACAGGGCGCCCCCAGCAGCTAACTCCCCCGCCCCTGCCAGCCCGCACCCCTGACCTGCCAAGACAGGACGACACCGCCTCTGCAAAGATGATGACAACCGTTGCGACCCAATGTTAAAATGATAGAAGATGGAGAAAAAATGGCATTAGAGCTGCGCATCATGAAAACATTTGTCCACAGGACGAGAAAACTGGGAAATACACAACGTGAATATCATGAGTGTTCTTCCCATTCTCAAATCTTTGCAACTTTACACTTTTCAAAGCAATGCCAAGTAAAGCAATGCCAAAATTGTACTTCCGATGTCAAAGCGGCCGTACTTGACCCACAGTTATGCCAGACCACGGGGGCTTACGTCCTTCTTTTCTCTCCTTCCCACAGGATGTGCTGGGTGGCATCCTGGTCACTGCAGTCCTCATCGTCCTCACCTACCCTGCCTGGACCCTTATCGACCGCCTGGACTCGGCCAGCCCCCTCTTCCCCGTGTGTGTCATCGTGGTGCCCTTCTTCCTGTGTTACAACTACCCCGTGTCTGACTGCTATAGCCCCACCAGAGCGGACACCACTACTGTTCTAGCTGCAGGGGCAGGGGTGACTCTCGGGTTCTGGATCAACCACTTCTTCCAGCTCGCGTCCGCGCCCGTCGAGGCTCTCCCTGTCGTTCAGAACATCCCGCCACTCACCACCAACATGTTGGTCTTGGGACTGACCAGATTCGCCGTGGGGATCGTGCTGATCCTTCTAGTGCGTCAGCTGGTACAAAACCTCTCCCTGCAGGTGCTGTACTCCTGCTTCAAGGTGGTCACCAGGAACAAGGAGGCCAGGCGGAGACTAGAGATCGAAGTGCCTTACAAGTTTGTCACCTACGCGTCTGTGGGACTCTGTGCTACTACCTTTGTGCCCATGCTGCACAGGTTTTTGGGACTGCTCTGAACCTCAAAGAGTTGGAAGGGAGTCCCCTGGGCCAGGGAGCCCAAACAGGAAAGGGCTGAGGTGGGCAAGTTTTGACAATACATTTTTCTTTAAAAAAAAAAAAAAAAAAAAGAACTCCTAAGTCACATGTCCGTTTTGCTGATAGCTGAGATCAGGGTTGCTGCCGTGTGAAAGGAAGTCCTGTGTCCTAGGACCATCAGTCTGTAAGCATCTTGCTGCAGGGGAAGCCGGGCTAAGCCCACAGTCTGTTCTTTGAGGGTCTCCTGCCCTGTTAGACGGACTTTGGTCTAGTCGTGGGCCGGAAGGAACTGTGGCCTGGTTTGGGCGATCCAGAAGAGACAGGCATGATCTGAGAGGCTGGAGGTCAGTGTTTCTCTTCCGTTATGACCTTGCCTGGCACAGAGCCTCATGTCCAAACTTGGGACTAGGGTCCGGAGAAGGGGTGGCGTCGTGTAGAACTGCCTTCCTTGGACAGGGTGACATTTTTGTTAGAGGACTCGACTGTGCCCACACAGGTGGCAAGAGCGTCGCGGACCGCACCATGGGGTGGTAAGAGACGGGAGCACCCGTGGGAGATCGTGGGCAGGAGCCTGTTTCCCTCCGGAGCCCCGCTTTCTGGGGGCATCCGCTCGTCCGTGTCCGTGCGTGTTGCAGAACTCCGGGTCGTGTTTCCCCACTCTGCCGATCCAGGAAACCCACTGGCTGCCCGCACCTCTGTACGTCGGGGTTCCCGGGGTGTCCTGTTCTCTCCTGCTTCGCCGCAACTTGGGGCGAGCCCTCGGCCCGTATTTGGGTGTTTCATGCTTCCCTACAAACTGGGGAGGCGCCATCATCTGCCTGCAAGAGCGGCCCCATACAACCCATGAACTGAACCCTCCCTGGGCCCCGACAAGGAGGAAAGTGGCCTCCGGGATGTTGCTCCTGCATTTCTGTTAACTTTCTGTAAACCGATTTTTTCACCTACTAAATAGTATCGGGGGCTCCCTTTCCATCTCCCTACCTCCTATCTCGTGGCGGTGTTAATTAATGCACTTAATGTAATTAATGCAAGAGCGGGGTCAGCCTCTGTTGGGAAGACAGGCTGACCAAACTCAACACAGCCTTTCAGCCTGCGTGTGTCCTCACGGGGCGTAGGAAGGCCGTGTCAGGGGAGCACGCCCTCCGGGGGCACATCTTCCGCTCTGAAGGACCAGGAACGCGCATCAACAGTCCTCTGAAAAGTTAGCAGAAATGCGTGGTCAGGAAGTCTCTTCTGCAGTGTGGGACCTGGGCCACTGAAACCAGGGACTTGAATCCCAGCACCTGGTTTCTGGGCACTTACTTCAGGGTTGGGCTCTTCCCTCTGCCTCCAGTGTGAAAACAGAAAACCCCGTTGGTCCTGATTTCAAACACGGCCCCTGAGCTTTCTGTCGAGGTCCCCTTTGCTATTTGGCTCAGTGCTCAGGTCTACCGAGAACAATGTTGAGGAAACCATTCTGCTTTTCCTTCGAATCCTTCTGACATTTTTCGTAGTTAGAGGAGGCAGGAATCAAAAGGACCTGCCATTTATTTGACTGTCTTAGAGCAAACTCTGCCTAGTATTTGTGGCAACGTACAGGCACCCCTGCCCTGGGCCAGCCCCGCCATCCACACGGCAGACGAGGCATGTTCCTGCATCATTTTTAGTTGCTTTTTCTGAAGCTAATTAGCAAAAGGATCAGGGTTTCCCACTTACATCTTTTGAGAGGAGGGGCCGTAATTGTCACAGCAGTGGGTGTTGGCAATTCACTCAATTGTGTGCGTGTGATTTTTAATGCTGTCCTTTTAAGTCCCAACAATAGGACAGCAATCAGCTGTGTCAATGTATTTAAGGCTATATTTACACGATTGGATGGAGGGTGATTAGCTTTGGATCTTAAAGAACAACCCAAGGGCTTGTCGTGGTTGGTCATTTTTTAAAGTATCTCGTTTTGCAACTGGAAAATTAAAAGAGTGTATATTGGTGAAGACCATTTTAGTTTTTGAGCTCTACTGCTCTGCAGGAACAGACTGGAAAAGTCACTACCTGCTTCCTACTCTTGCTCACTGGCCCTCCTCTGGCACTTGTTATACCCTCCCAGGCCCGAGGTCTCTCTCACACACCCCACCCCTATCCCTTCAAAGAGCAGGCCTACCGGCTCCTTGGAGACATTTGGATTTTCTCTCTGGGGAGAGACTGCCCCCTGCTGGCGTAGCCTCGGTCGTGGTCCAGAGCCCCTCTTCTGCCGGAGACTTGGAGATTAAGACTTTTAAAAGTCTTTTAAAAGTCAAACTCACCATGATGTATCCAAGATAAACTTAGGACCTGGGGTCTGGCCAACCCTGCATTTGGAACCCTCAAAGCCCTCAAGACGACTTGGCACCTCCAGGAGCTCAGCAGAACATGGCCTCGTCCTTACGGGCAGGGCAGGCCCTCCCAGCGTCCCACCGTCCCAGCCCCCTTCCACTCTGGGCCAGGCCCTCCTGCAGCGTCCTTACAACCAGCTGTCGCTCCGTGCTGGTTTTGCTCAGGCCTGCACCACAACAGAATATGCAGAAGGAAACACAGATGGGATCCTGAACTAAAAACCCTTAAATGGCTGTGGCCGAAGTCACTCTACAACATGCCTGAAGGTCGCACTGTAACCTGGGATTTTTCTCCCCCAAGTAGGCATCTCCTGCTTCCCGGGTGTAATCAAAGCATGTGGTGTTTTGGGGCCATATGCTCCCGGTTTCTATTTTGGAAGCTTTCAGCTGTCTTGCTTATGTACTGTATGTAAATTTATTCTTTTTAAAATAAAATCATTTTGTGTTTGATTATGACTTCTTATTAAATGTTTCAAAGGCCAGTGTTGGGCTTCCTTGGATTTTTTCCCCTGGATTTTTCAGGGTTTTCAGGGTTCAGTGGACCTGAGTTGAAAAGAGGTGGCAAAAAGAAATGACAGGCTATCCAGTTTTCTGTCGCTGTCCTAATTCAGTCGCATGCAGGTGTTGGGGAGTCTCATGGCCACCATCGATGTGAACAGGAAGAGGAATGAGCACCTCCCATAACTCCTTGATACTTACCTTAGTGTGGTCAGAGATAAATGTTACTTTGTGTTGAAAAGTAAATGTTACGGTGTTGCTAGTTAAGGTAACTTAAAGGTTTTCATGAATGAGTCCACTGCTGAGCCAGATGAACATGACCCGATTTCATATTCACACGGTTACAATGATATGCTCTGTCTTTAAGCATCCCAGATTGCTACTTGAAATGGTACAGAGAGCTGACCCTCATTGGCAAGGTCAGGGCTAGGAGCCTATTTGTAATTTTAATACCTGCTCTGCTGGGTACCACGGACATGGGACATTGGATGGGACCTGATCTGCCCTGTGTAGTTCTTCCAGGAGAGAGGGGACTGTGGCTCAGGGAAATGGAGAAGAGGGGAGGAAGGGGAGGTTAATTCCTGCCCGAGGCCCGCAGCAGCTCAAGGAAGGTTCCGGGGAGAGGCAGTATGTGAGCCAGGCTTCCAGAGCAGATGGGGTTTGCACAGGGACGTGATGAGAAGTAGGTAGGAGAGGATCCTCCGTGGCGAGGGGCAGCTTGCCAGAGACACTTCCCCCAAACACCTGCAGCTCTTAGAAGGAGAATCCGAACCGAACCCAGGGACTGGCGACTGTGTGTGGTGCTGGAACAGGGATGAGCCAGGGGCTTGACCCTGCAGAACCCAATCACAGGAACAGGAAGGAGGGGTGAGAAAGCCCCTTAGTCCGTTTTATGTCCCCGTGGTACCATTCCAGAAGAGGTGACACCCAGAGGTGATTTCCTAGTCTCCTCCACCATTTCTTATTCAAATATTAAACAGTCGGCAGTGGGCACCTTCCCCTTCCGCCATCTTGGACCTGGCCCCTCAGGCTTAGCTTCATTCCCAGGGCCTCTTGTTCGGCATTCAGCAGAGGTGATGGCTGCTAGGAACTCCATCCCTGTCCTTGGTCCCATTCCCCCTCTTCTCTTGGTTCAGTTCCCCGAACTTCTCCAGTGGAACTTGATTTAAAAGTATTTGACCTTGATCCTGGCTCTTCAGGAGACCTGTGCATGTGCTCGCTCACATCCCTCTATCCGGGAACGGAGCCCCGGTTCTCTAGTAACAGGCTAACCAGAACCAAGTGGCGTAGATGTATCTAGTTTTAGAGGATAGATGTTTGCCTAAAAGCTGTTTCGATTTTTTTTTTTAACTTGAATTTTAAGTGCACCCAGGGATTTGCTGGTTATAAATGGCATTTTTAATCATATGGCAATCCTTCATTTCTGTAAACATCAGGCTCTTCAGTGGATTACTCGGGGTACACCATGTGTCCATTGTTCTCTTGCAGCGGGGCGCACCTGTAGTACAGACTTGACTATTTACGGGACGCATATGAAGAAGAATAAGAGTTGGATGCGGACCATGAATAGAATGTTACATTTTAAAACTGTAGCCACATGAGACAAGGGAGCTCTATGAAGCCAGAAACCGTTTTTCCTTTTCCACGCCTGTCTATGTGGCATCCAAAAACAAACAAGCAAAGCAAAAGGATGCAGCGAGGAGTTCCGGCTGGGACGCTCCTTTAATGCACACACTCAGCACAGCTGCTGGCCTCGCTGCACCCCTTGGTGCGGGGACAGCGGGGTCCCCTTGCCGGGGGACCCCAGTGGAGGTGTTCAAAGAACGCGCCTCCTCACAAAGCCAGCATCAAATGGCTGAGGCCAGGGCAGGGTGCTCAGTCGCCACCGCCTTCAGGCCCTGGACCTGCAGCTGCGATCCGAAAGGGCTGGAGCCTCCTGGGATTCAGGTCTGCGGTGTATCTCGGTCACGTGGGGACCTGCCGAGCAGTGCTGGGAGGGGGGCAAAGGATGCCCGGGGCACACCGAACCGTCCTCGTGAGCCATCTTAAGTTGGTGCCAGTAAGAATACATCGCTGGAAAGTTATTTTTGTGGTGAATGGAAAACCATAGCATAATGTCAACTTTTCACGAAGTCAATTCTGCTGTTACTACGTAGGTATTGGTATTATTTTTTTCGCTTTATTCCTTTATCTCCTAGTTTTTATGTCTAGAAGGTGAAAATATGTATTTTCTATCAACGTGTTCATCTCTCCTCTAGCATCTTGGACAGATGGAATACAGTTAGAATAATATGCTCCCTTGGGGTGCCTGGGTGGCTCAGTCATTAGGTGTCTGCCTTTGGCTCAGGTCATGATCTCAGGGTCCTGGGATCAAGCCCTACATCGGGCTCCCTGCTCAGCGGGAAGCCTGCTTCTCCCTCTCCCTCTGCTGCTCCCCTGCTTGTGTTCCTTCTCTCGCTGTGTTTCTGTCAAATAATAAATAAAATCTTTAAAAAAAAAAAAAAAAAGAGTATCCTCCCTATTAATTCTATCATCTCTGCCCTGTCAGTTTCTGATTCGTTTTTTCCCCCCTTCCTCATTATTGGTGGTATTTCCCAGCTTCTTGGCTTGCCTGGTAATTTTTGATCGGTTGCCAAATACTGTGACTTTGACATTGTTGGGTGGTGGATATTTAGTGATATTGTAAATATTCTTAAGCTTTGTTCTGGGATGCAGTTCATTCCTTGCAAATAGTTTCTTTGGGTCTTGTTTTTAAGCTTTATGAGGTGGAACTGGAGCGGCGTTTGGTCTAGAGTTGGTTTTCCCTGCTACTGAGGCAAAATCCTTCTGGGACTTCTCTGCATTGCCTTGTGACATCTGAGGTTTTCTAGCTGTGGCTGGCCTCAGTGAGCTCTGGGAACGGTTCCGTCAGTTCCTTCAGGTCTCTGTGGATGGTTAGAGGCCGTCTCCTCTGTAAGAGACGTGCACAGGCTGACCGCTAGTCCCCTGGAGATGGGCCTTTGCAGACGGTCGGGTCCAGCGACTTCCTGAAGGCATCTCTCCTACGGGGTCCTTCTCTTCCCCACTGCGCAGCTTGCTCACAGGGCGCCTTTCCATCTGGCTGATCTTGCTTCAACCGCCTTGCCCCCCCCCCCGCAAACTCTCCATTTAGGTGTTCTGCACACCTGAGAAATGTCTACACCCGTCCATCTCTGGTTGGCCTTCTACTCGCTGTATGTCCAGCATTCACGTTTGGGTTTACCACATTTGCACCCTTTGCAGCTGCCTTCCAGCTGGCCTGAAGCAGGTGGGGTGTTTTCAGACATGCTTTCATGCCTCATGACAAAAAGTGGTGCCTTGTGGAATGCAGGAAATTTCTTTTGATACGAGGTTTGTTATCAAACAAGTGCCTTTCCTCCATATCTTCACTTTTCTGTCCTAAGGACAGCTTTGCTCTGAATGGCTGGGAAGTCCTGTAGTTCGGACACTGCAGTGGTTACCTCTTACAAGGGCCTCCTCCGAGGGGGGCAATTCAGAATGTTTTCTAATGGAGAATCAACTCCTGTCCCTTAAATAGAGACGACAGAGGCCAAACCTTACGGACGAGTGTAAAACTTGAATGGAGAACGTGAGCATATCTGAACGCTGCCATCAGTCACACGGGGGGAGAAAAGTCGTGCAGGGCTTTAGCCAGACACAATTCAACTGAACTCATTGCTGGAGATATTTGTTCAACCCACAGTGGAGCTGTCATGTCTGCAGTTATTCCTTTGTGTTTACTAGAAAGTTAAAGGAGACTATGACACTTGACAACAAAGCGGGCCCTGGTGGAAACTAAAATCACTTTGGGTCGGCTCTGCCTTCCCGCGGCCCCGCTTGTTTGTCAAGGATTGGCTGCCTGGGTCCTCCCCCCTTTATCCGAGGAGGCCCATTGCCTCGTGCTGACTGTGCTCGGGGGCCTTAGGGAGCTGCTGCTGACTGTCCCAGAGGTGTACTGCCACATCAAATTCCACTATGTATGCCAGCCTCTTTTTTTTTTAAGTACTATTATTCAAGCTCCTTGTAAGCCACAACCTGGAAGATAGCAGATGTGTCCCGTGCTTTTGTTGAGTTGAGGGCATATTTCACTGAAGGCACTTGTGTCCCTTTAAGGCATCTGTCTGCCAATTTTGGATAAAATGGACCAAAGAGCCAACTCAAGAACTTGGGGTTTGTGGTATTTACAGGAAACATCAAGCATGAACGGAAGCTAAGACTGAGACACAAGATCATACACAGAGCTCTTTTACCAACCTGATGAGCTCCGGAACGGCTGAGGGCAAGAAGGGCAGCTGGGCAAGCTGGTTCCTAGTTGGGCTACTCCTGTTCAAAAGGTAATAGTAATTGAGTATCTGCTACCTCTAGGACTCTGACCTATTGGGATAAGACACTGCTCGAGTGCAGAAGTCACATCTAAGAACTATCCAAGCAGCCCCATGCCTCTCAGAATGTGTCTGCCAAACACCAAATGTGGAGGTTCACGTAGCCAGTAGGGCTGGGTTTTTGTGGCCTCCAACTAGTGCTGGTTTAGGGGGAGGCATATGGAAGTCCATTGGTCACTGTAATTACAGAGTTGGAAACAAGAGAATGTCAACAGAGGAAAAGCTGAACAAATTATGGCCAGCCTACAGTAGTGCATCATTTAAAACAAGGAGCTGGGTCTAGAGGGACTGACCTAGTAAAATGGGACATGCCAAGTGAAATGTCGTGAGACATACCATGTAAAATAGAAATCAAAACGTGTTGCAAATCAGTAGTCATCGGTATGACCCAAAAACCAAGAGCACGCATGCACGTGCACGCGCGCACGTGTGTGTGTCAGGGGGCGAGGGGGTATGACGGTCTAAACTAAGACAAATGTCAGAAAGAGCACAAGCTAAATTATTAACAGGGGTTAGTTACTTTAGTAGGAGATTGGGGGAGGAAGGGTAGATTAGCTTGGGAAGATTTTACTTTGTACAATTTCCTAAAGTAGTTAAGATTTTTAACTTTTTGTGTTTTTCAGTAATTTTTTATAAAAAAAACTCAAATTTCAACATTTTGGAAAAGTAGGAAAATGACACAAAACACTGTAATCGACTGAATCTGTACTCATTGTCACAATCCCATTTATTACCCATGGGACTTTTGGGCACATCATTAATCTCTCTGAGGGCTAAGGTTCTCATCTCATCAAGCAGCGAGAATTCCTATTTCTGACTACCTCCTCTCATTGTTAAAAAAAAAAAAAATGCTGAAATGAGATCATATGTGAAAATACTTTGTAACCCGAAGAGCGACGCAGGAACATCAGGCTTCAGTGGAAGCTCTCTGTAAGATAACACAAGACACCAATTCTGATTTCCCTCTTGATACTCGGGCTCCCGGTTTTTCCTAAGAAGGCGTGTGTCTTCTCCAGCAAAGGTTTTGGCAGAGCCCACCGACTGCCCGGGCTCCAGTCCAAATGCCCCTGCCAGGACAAGTGTGACCTGATCTTCCTGCGGAACCTCAAGGCCCAGACTGGAGGGTCATCTCTTCTCAAGTACCCGAAGTGGTGTTTCTTCTTACGGTTTCCTGCTTCGGAGGGCAGAAACTTCCCCATGATGGATGGAGTTGATCTTTCCCCTTTCATGCTGGGATCAACAATCAGGGATGAGTGGGTTTTCATTACAAGTCGTTTCTGACCCACCAAAATACACCCAGGCGGCTGGCTGCTAACAGAGCAAATGGCCCCACTCACTTCAATAGCGGCGACCACGTGGCCCACAAACCAGGACTACCCCCAGCAAACCTGAAACCGGGGGAAAGTATCTCCTTAATAGCAGTGGACCAGTAAGCCACTCTGAGCAGGCATACCAATTCTAAAATTCATGCTCTTAAAAAAAAAAAAAAAAAAAAAAAACTCGTGCTCTTTTACCCTATGCATATATCTGTTGTGTCAAATTATCAGGGAATAGCTTCTTTCCATCGTCCCCAAGGGCTTCCTCTGTGCCCTTTGCAGTCCCTTCCCTTCCACAAGCTCTAGCCAACCAAACTGCGTCTGACTTTTCTAGAATTTCATGGAATCACAAGTAGTCTTGGGTCTGGTTTCTTTTGCTGAGCCTTGGGAACCATTCATATTCTTCAGTAGTTCATTCCGCCGCCGCTCCCCGCTCTTGCAGCGGTGGAGGGGAGGAGAATCTTAAGTAGGCTCCATGCCTAGCATGGAACCTGACAAGGGGCTTGATCTCATGACCATAAGATAATGACCTGAGCCGAAATCAAGAGTTGGACGCTTAACTGACTGAGCCACTCAGGCACCCAGCAGTTCCTTTTTATTACCAAGAAATACTCATTAAAAAAAAAGAAAGAAAAGAAATACTCATAATACAGATGTAGTAGAATTTATTCACTCAGCTGCTAATGAACATTTGGGTGGTAGCTACTATAAATAACCTTCTTCTGTTCCCACCAGCAGGGCATGGAGGTCCCACGCCCTGGTCTCACCAATACTGGGTATGAACCAGTCTCTCAAACTTTAGCCGTTTCAATTTGTATTGTGGTCTCTATCTGCGTGTCCCTGACAGTTAAGGACGGTGAGCCTCTTTTCAAATGCTTATTTCCTGTATCTTCTTTGGGGAAATATCTGTTTAAATCTCTAAGGATGCTGGATACAAACCTTTTGAGGTTTTTTTGTGAGCCTATCTCACTTCCTTTAAATGCTGTTAGGTTGTGCTTACAACAGACTTGGGAAAGAACAGGACAGTCTGTATGTGCACAGATCTTGCCAGGTCGGACGCTGCTGCCCTGAGGCAAGGCAGTCACGGGGCGGGGCTCCTCACAGTAGGCTCAGCAGAGCTCCAGAAACATAACCCTTCCTCACTCCGTTAGCTATTTCTACTGGAACTTAAGGTTTTACATTTTGTGTTTCATGTCATCTTAACAGTAACTAAGAAACATTAGACCTAGCTTTTTCACTATCAGTACCTACTGGAAGAGTCTAGATCAAAGTATAAAAGTAAATTAGAAGGCAAGACAAGGAGGACTGACAGAAAATTAGCTTCAGAGGAGATCCAATACTTCCCTATAAAAGAAGACAGAACCTAGTTGCTCAATTAAATATTTAACGCCACGATTTTATAATACTGATTACAGTGAAATGTATGGCCTAGGGCAGAAGTAATTTTTCACCGTTTCCGATGTTCCCGGGGCGCTGCTGTCACCATGTGTAACTCGGCCGGCAGAACACAGCTATGCAGCAGGTGCTCGGTCTCAGGGTATCAGGGAGTGAAAGCACCTCTGCACATTCAAATATTTCAAATACTTGCAACATTTTTTTTCACTTTAAAATAACTTCAACGGCTGTAAGACTAACTGCTAGACTGTCACTGCTTCCTAATGGTCTCCTAAAAATACTGTTTCCCAATGCTGAATGTCAAATGTGAGCACTGACTGGAAATCTTCCATCGCTCCTACTCGTGCGCCCTGCGTCCAAATCTGCTCTCCTGCTGTTTCATCCGTAAGCCTCCAGTCCTGTGCTCCTCTGGGCTCTTCCTAACCATGTAGCTTCACGGACACCGTGTTCGCACAAGCTGGCCTAACGCAGGGAGTGGGCGGCATTTATCCACCGGGCCAGAATCACTTTCTACTTTATTAAACATTAAAGCGTAAATGGATACTCCCTGTGGGGAGGGCTACAGGACACCAGGGAAGGAGAAGGGGACACTCGGGGAGAGAGTCACACAGCGGAGCCCCATCTTCACAAAAATGGCTCAATATTGATTTCCAGGGAGGAGCAGGGCATGGTCAGCTCAAATTTGGTGATGACGTCAGGATGAAGGACCCCAAGCTTCCCGATGCTCTGACCCCTGGCAAAGATCTCCGCGCATCTCCCAGGGAAGAAAGCAGGGCCTGAAAAAGAGGACAGAAATCAACGTTTCTCCTGGCAAAAGCATCAACAGACTTTTAACACCTAAGTTTTTCATTAGGCTGCTGGAAAAGTAAGTTCTTTAAAACCAACTGGCTAGGAAATAAAAGTGCCATCCTCATACTTTCTAATCTTGAAATATTTGGTATTACAGCAAGAAACTCTTAAAAGGAAAAGGTTAAGGGCAAATATGCAAGTTAGGGCCCTGCATGGGTTTTTGTTTTTGTGGGTTTTTTCATTTGTTTGTTTGTTTTAATCATGGGGCTCCAGGAAGGCAGGATCAAGACGAAGAGGCTGGAGGAGCACAGCTAGAGAAGTCCTTGGGGAGCTCCACAGGGAGGAAGGACAAAGGGGAGAAAGGAAATGTAAAACTGATGACCTTGCATGGGAAGAACCTGTTTTGAAACAGGTTTTTCCATAGTCCTACCTGCTGGATAAAAAGTCCAGCCTGAATCCATTTACGATTCCAAACTCACTTTTCTACCTTGTTACACAGAGAAACAAGCCGCACGGTCACCGGCAGGCTCGAGCTTTGCTACCCGAATGCGACCCACATTCCTGCTGGAGAAAGAACTTTCTCAGTAGTTTCAGAGCACCTTCCGTAAAACCCACGCTCGCAAAGGCAAGCACCAAACCAGTCTGGGGTGAGCCCCGAGTTACTTAAGGCAGGTGGGAAGTGCTCTCTTCTTCTGGGTATCAATGCACGGGGCGAGGGCTCAGCGAACCAGGAACCGTCATGGAGATCCAAACAGCTAAAAACAAGCAACCATCCGGGCCCACTCCATACTCGCTGACTGACGAGGGCCACAAGAGTTCATCAATGCTTCAGTGCTTGTGCCGTACTCAAGATTCAAAAAAAGCTGACTCCTTTCACTTGCCACCAACTTGAAAAGGGATCAGACCCACAGCTCCCTACCGGCATGAACTAAAAATACCCAGCAGGGCTGGGCCACAAGCCTGCAGCCTGCCATCTCAGAGTGAGTGCATTCTTTATGAAAGAATAAACTGCTGAGTCTCTACTAATGGCTCCAAGGTCAGCAGGATGAAGAAATACAGCACTGGCAGGGGAGGGCATTCTGCTAAAAAGTGGGCAGTACCAGCCACACCGTAAAGACGCAGGACAGTTCCACCTACCTCACAGTCAGCCTAGGAGGATGTGTGTTTATATTCCTGAAAAACATTTTTAATTGTCATTCTTAACCCCCAAAGCACCCTGGGCTGGAACAGAAGGTGGCCTGTTCCCCACAAGCCCTCAAACTAAACAATTCTGCCCCACTGTCTTATTAAAGCAAGACTTTCACTGCACTGCATTTGAAATAGAGGGCCCGCACATTACTCCACATCTGGGGACGGGCGCAGAGAGGGAACTCAAAAAACACAGAAACCCAACTGAACTGATAATGTAGAGCCTTAGTGAGATATGAAGAGCACTAAATCTAATAAAGATGGTCTACTTATTTTTAAAGCTTTTATTTGTCAGAGACAGAGGGAGAGAGCCCAAGCAGGGAGAATTGCAGGTAGAGGGAGAGGGAGAAGCAGGCTCCCCGCTGAGCAGGGAGTCGGATATGGGACTCGATCCCAAGGTCCTGGAATCATGACCTGAGCCACCAGGTGTCCCAAGATGGCCTATTTTAACACTATCAAAACAAAAACCCAATTTACAAAATTCTGCCCCTCTCCCTGGCCCAAATCTTCAAACGACAAAAAAGTGAAGCTGATATAAAGCATTAATGCTAAGCAGTGTAACCAAGAATCAGGAAACCTTCACTTCACCATGCGTTACCCCTTTTTTACAGAACTATAGCGGAACAGCCTTCACTAACTGGAAAAAACAACAACAACAAAAAACAAAACCAACCTATTTTTAAAGGTCATCCAGAAAGGAAGCTTAAGGTCTTCTCTGGTAACCTTGCCATGTTTAAGAATCCTCAGTGTGTATCAAAATCCTTCCTTTTTATCTACAAATTCCAATTTGATTGGATTCATTTTAACTGAAGCATAAAACCAGACTATTTTAGAATCTAAGCCAGATGTGCTAGTTCTAACAATGTTAGCAAAATAAAGCTTAAGAGATAAGACCTTAGAATTTTTACTTCATAAAACAACTTTTTGAATCAGCACTTTTTAGCGAAACACAGTTATGTTCTTCTTCGGTGAGCAGGCGTCACAATGCCGTCTCTGCCCCTTTCTCCGGAAGTCTGGACCACGCTTGGCTTTAGCTCATTAACCAGTCGGGTCTCAGTCAAACAAAATGTTCCTATTACTAAATACAATTTTCCCTCTTTCTGAAGAAAAGCAAAGAAAACTGAAATCTGTACTTGCATTATTTAAAACACACTCAAGTAGGAGAGTATTCTACCTGATGTAAGTATCAACAACTCTCCGCCCCGCACACAGATCTGTCAGAGCCCCTGTCACACCCCAAATCACACCCCGGCTTCACTGCAGAGGAGCTGCTTCCCAACCGAGCGGGCGCCAGAGGGGTCCTCCGGCCTCTCAACCGGAGCTAACCCCCCCCCACCGCTCGTAACAATGACATTCACTAATGGATTTCTGCATAAACTTTGCTGAAAACCGCACACTTTAGCCTATGACGACCATGATCATTTTCTTGCCATTTTTCATTTCTCACAAAGTCAGATGATGATACGAAGCCCTTAGGATGTGCTTCCTCTCTGTTTAGTTAGAGCAAGGCTGCAATTTTGTTCTTCACACGCACAAGCTGCGAGGCACACAAAAGGGACTTGACTGATGGGTGTGGACTAGAAATCCTGAAAGGAAATACAAGACTGAGTGGTTGCAACCAAACTGGGCAGCAGAAAGGAACCGCTCCAAAGAAGGCAGTCAAGAGAGCGTTGCTTTGCTACCGAAACAAGGGCACCTGCTGGGACGGCAATTCGGCCCGAGTTCAAAGACAAAGGCGTCTCCCATCAGCAGCCCTGTGGTGGTGCTCAGTAACTCAGGTGGATGGATGGATCCTAACACTCTAGAGCCGGGACAGGAGGCAACTTCAACCAGCCTTTCCAGAAGTCACATCCAAACAGAGCCACAGTCTGGGTCTGGGCTTGTGAAAAACCGTACCCGGATGGCAGTCAGAGGCCACTCTAACCCCCTCAACAAAAACCAAACAGGTGCCTCTGGAGAAAGAGCAGCCTGCTGGGTCCAGAGACAACGTTGTCAATTCAAGGAAAACCATGTTGTCCTATGAATGGGAAATCTAAAACTCAAAATCTAAAAAATACAGTTGCCTACTCTTCACGTGTCTAAGCCCAAAAAGAGTTCCTGGTTTGCTGTAAAGACTCCAATTTTCAACCTGTGCCCCAAACACTCCACGGCACAAAGCCCCTCAGCCCACTTTTCCACCTGGTTCCTGACACGGATTAAGTGCTCCGCTTTGCTGGTATCCATCACAGTGAAACAGCCTCCAACATAAAACAGACCTGGGGGAAAATAGCGCTCTCTTGCCGAAATCCATGTGGAAGCCCAGACAAAAGAAACATCAGTTAAGCACAAGCAAGAATTTAATTTCCAAAACTTAGTGGGGTGTAAGTAAGTCCCTTAATTAAAGCTTTTGTAGCATCTCCTCGAGGTCTGTAATTGTCTCTCTGTGCTCAAGCGGCAGGACCACTTTGAGGACCTTGGGGGTAATTCTCGGCCAGTAACGCAGCCCAGCACCCAGTCTTTAGCGCATTTTCTGGCTAATTGACCTTCAAAGAGTTTGTGAGCTCCCACTCTTGCTCGTTGCCAAACACCTTTCACAGTTTCTTTTTCCCCTGTCTTTCTTTTTAGAGTCGTATTATAGGCCCAAAGTTCGGATAAGCTTTCCACAACGAGTCATTCCTGTAATTTTATGAAGCATCGGAAGTAGAGGTTTTGGGCGGTAACTGAGCAGACCCCTATCCGAACGCGGGACAGGTTATCAAGCATGAGGCCCTTAATGCCTTAATCTTCAACCCCTGCCACTGGCTATATTCAACTAATTCATCTGGTACTTAAGTTCGCCATCTCTAATAACCATCTGACTCACAATTTTATTTTCCCCTCTCTTCACATCACTAAGACATGCTTCGGGATTCAAATCTACATACTGTTACCTGCCTTCATCACCCCGATTTTCTCCAAAGAAAGATAAGAACAAAATGAAAAGGGGCAAGGAACTCTGAGAAAGGACTGAGTGTATATCTCATGTGTCACAGCAAAAAAGAGAAACCATCACTGTCGGCTTAAATACCAATAAATACAAAATGCATAATTCTATTGATACAGGAGACCAGTGGGCCAACTGAGTGTGCTTTAAATCTGTTCTAAATGACCGATGATGTAATATGCGTAATAGAATAGAAATAATCACTTGACAGGCTGGTCCTAGGGATGGCCCTACCAAAGCCTACCTGTCCTAAATCCCTAATTCTAAATACAATTAGATATATATAAAATAATCCATTCCATGGTGGAACAGTCTATCCTAGGAAAAACACAAAGGACAAAAAATCCCCAGTGTTCCATTCTCGAGTGAAGCCAGCAGAGCACGGCACAGAGTGGGGCACAGGTCGGAGTGGAAGAGGGCTCAAATCATGTTTCCTTTCCCTACACAGGACACGTCTCCCGGTTTCCCACCAGCTCTCTGAGCATGGAGTAACCACGACTGTCTAACTCTGCTGCCAGCACCTCAACCTCCCTTTCCTTTTCCGAGTAGCGTCTGTTTAAAGGAAGAGGAAGGACAAAATAAAGGGCTTAAAAAAAAACCAAAAAAACAAAAAAAAACGGCACACACTTAAACTGAACATGGGAGCATGGCTGGTTGTTCTCCAAGTTTTCAAGGCAAGAGTTTTTGAGCGTACAAGCAGAGTTATACAAAGTGGGGAGATCCGAAGGGGCAAGGGGGAGACACAATGTAGGCAACATATTAACTTATAAAAAAGAAAAAGGTAGGAATAGAACAGAAAACAATCAGAATAACTGAGATATATGCCTGCATAATTTA